GTTGCTTTTGAGGCGCTGCAGGTCCCTCGGATCAGCATTTTGCTTGCAGTAAAGTCCCAGTTTGGACGAGGTGTCCTTGGAGGTTCACTGCTGAGGAAGGTAAAAGACAGTGGTTAACTTGTAAAGGAAGATTTTTTTCCCTCTTCTTTTGTCGCTGTCATGGTGAAGTGCGAGGCTTTCGTTACCCTCAGTTAGTAAAATAAATTGTTGGCTCCTGGTAGAKCATCTAAGCAAGTCCTTTGGAGAGAATTCATCTTTATTGTAGCTAACCTGAATTTTACTGTCTCTTCCACTCTGGGAGTTTTACACACTCTCTTTCYGGCCCCGTCTGAAAGTAAAAAAATCACCTTGTGCTGCTTGTACACTGTGGCAAGGTTTATGACAAAGACCAGTATCAGAGGGAAATCTGGGATCACACCCCAGACTTCCCATTGTCTATCCAGCATGAACCTGTTTCAGCTGCATCCCAGGGGTCCTGGATGCATCARTAAGTCCAGCAAGGCTGAGGTGGGAAGGTTTTGGCAATACTTGGATGAGCYCTCCCTGGTACAGCTGAGGTCTGTGTGCTGCCTCAGCTGCTAGAGTTGAGTTTTGTGGTTATTCTGCTGTCATGTCTCTGAGTGTATTATTTGTATGATGTTGTCTTCCGGATAGTTTATGTATTAATTTTGCTATTATCTGTTACACTAACATAGATGCAGCTGTGTTAAGCAATCTTGGGCTGTTTAAAATTACCTTTAATGTGAATATTTAATCCCAGAGATGGTTTCATGTAGGGCTTTGAAATAATGTGGGAAAATGTTATTGCATTTTGTGCAGTATAATTGAAAAATAACATTCTTACAGCAGCAATGTGTGGAGCTTTTACGTGTTCTCCCTGTGTCCAATAAATAATGTTTAATGCCAGTTAATACCTTTTCCTCTTGTTTCTAACTATGCCTGTCACACCCGTGGGGATGGAAAAATGTTTCAGCTTTTCTTTSCTGGACCTGCCTTTCACTCAGAACTAATGTTGCCTTGCTCTTTTTCTGCTTCCCACTCGTCAGGATTTGGTGGGCTTGAAACTGCAAACTCCACTGCCAGTGGGTTTAATTTTGGGGGTTTTGGATTAACTGCTAATCCCGCGGTGAATTTTAATATTGGGAATTTCGGTGTTTCCACTACCTCAACTCCACCATTCAATTTTGGTAACAGTCTGGCAAGTGCAGGTAGATAATGCATAAATATGTGTTCTGTGGTCAATGTTACCCGCAGGGGTCCAAGAATTACATTCCTAAGTGGGAATCTGTGTCCACTACTAATCTTTATATCCAGTGCAGACTGGAGATAAAAGCCCTGGAAGTGGAATGGGTTTGAGATCCATAGGCTTGTAGGGGTTTTGCCTGTTAAATTCTCAATGAATAGCTTTTGAGGAAAAATAACGCTGTACCAAAGTCTCTGAAAAGGGAATTAATTTGGGTCACCCACGAGTCTGAAACTGAGCTTCAGTTACTGAGCCAATCTGTTCAGATTCAGGCGATCCTGAGCAATCCCGGGCTGGTCCCTGTGCCACATTTCCTGACATGAGATTCTTGGACTACTGCAGTCATGTTTTCATCTTCCCCCGTGTCTCCTCATTGGCCTTGCGTTGGCTCTCATGAATGCACCACACCTCAGTAGTTTCTTTGGAGAAACAAATTGTATACGACCGGCGCAAAGTCCCAGCCCAGCTTTGACCTGTTCCCTGAATGCCACTGTGCATCCCAAAACCGCCCAAAACCCAGCTCTCCAGAGACACTCGGTGCTCCTGCACAGGATGGGTGTGCTGGGTGGAGACTGAGAGAGAAAGTCCTTGTGGTGCCATGGAGATCCATCAGATCTGAGCAATCAGCTGGTGTCATTTCTCCCTAAGACTTTCCCACTCCATATAAAAATGCTGGGCAGGATGGATTACTGATGCTTTTGTTGTTGTGGAATTAGCCTGAGAGGTCCCATTGCCGCTGCTCGTATAGGAATTCCATCCATCTCACAGTGTCATTGCTCTCTGTGTTAGCGACTCTCACCTGTTCTGTGCACTCCAGGGATGTTTATTTTGGGGTTTATTTGCTGTAACCACTGTTGGGCTGGAYTTCTTTACCTTAATTTGAGCTGCTCCATAAGAGAACATGGGTAGTCAATTTGATGTTTAATTTGATACTTAAGTGATACTCTCAGATGCCTTTTCAAGAAAGGATGACTAAATTTGCTGTGAGCACAAAGATACCTAAAAATGGTGTCATCTGCTGGTGSTCCTGCCAGGGTGTCTCACTCACTGGCAGGACTGAAACGTGTGTTACAAGGAACAACTTCTTATGCCCACTCACATTGAGRTGTTTGCTGAATGGAAATAAAATGCAATTGCATGCCAGCCTTGGCTTTTCATTTTGTTTGTGGACAGGAGGACTCTAAGTGTAATAGATCTAAAGAACCTTTTCTCATTTTTCACTATTGGCTTTGGAGTTAAGACTGTCAGCATCTTTTTGACAAATYCATTGTAGCAGACTGTCTTTTCTCATTTGAAAACATGTAAAAGTCATATGAAACACATAGACCTTGGTTTCCCAGGATTGTCAGGGCTCCACAGGCTGTACCTTGGGCCAGCACTGTTGGCACCACCGGAGCTCAGGCCCTCACTTAGGTCCTCTTCTGCTGGCCAGTGACTGCTTTTCCTGAAAAATCTGTGCAAGGCTGATTGCTTTTGCATCCATCTTCCTATGCTAGTGGTTGAACCTCCAAATGAGGTGTAATAGGGAGGATGATAGGGAAGTGAAGTTTCAAAAAAAAGCACCGTATAGAATTTTACCTGTAAAT